GGGATTCCTCGGTCAAGTTTTTTGGTGTAAATACCACATTCTTCTGGACAATCACAAAGGGTCATGAATAAAGCCTATGTGGGATCTAGAATTTCTGTCTTGTGTGAAAACCTGCAATTTTGAAAATATTGTGTTTCCATATGGAAAAACTGGTTTTGAAATTTCCCCAAAATTGTTTTTTTTTAAGGGGAAAGGAGTGTTTCTGTTTCATTAATAAAATATTTCATTTCAATAAAATCAAACCATCCCGTTTCAATTTGAACTTTTACAAACTTTATAGCAAAATAAATCAAAAAATTCAGTCACTTTAAAATGACAAATCTCATGTTTCATTCGGAAAATGCTGAAACAATGTTTCCACCTTGCTGAAATGAGTCTTGCTTTTCTCCTCCCCTCTCTGCCCCCAAATGAAATTGTCACAATTAACACATTCCCACAGAGTTTTGGTTTCCATGAAGTTATATTTTTCAGTGGAAAAATGTTGCTCTGGAAAAAATCCAACCAGCTCTACTCACAGAGATCCTTTCAAGACCATACCACAGGAACTTCACCTCAACACAGTCTGAGTCATCTCATGAAAAAGAGCAAGATGTATTAAGAAGAAAAAGCCAGGTTTAAGTTAAAACCAGAGAAATACTCAGTATAACCTCTCTTAGATATTTTATCCTCCATAAGGGAAAAGCTGAGTTAATCTTGGTTTACCTGTAGTGAAGTCCTAATCTTTGGGGCTTGTCTATGTGATGTGTGAGTCTTCACCAGAGGCTATATAAATTCTAATTAATCCATGGGTCTCACACCACCTCAGATTGTCAAGAAATACGTCTCCTCCCATCCCCATCCCCACACCACCTCAGATTGTCAAGAAATACATCTCCCATCCCCATCCATTTTATCTTGAAGGCTTCTTTGAAGGCCTTTGAAGCCTTCTTTGAAGGCACATTGACATACCTCTGTTTGATTCCAGATTCAATCAGGATTGTATCCATATAGGAAATCAATAGCACAGCTGAGAATTGGGCATAAATGTCCTGATTCCCAGTCCATGGCTCTACCCATTACACAATGCTTCCTATGCTATCTCTGTCTTAGAAGCATCACTTATCACTTTGGGGGGAGGGGAAGGTAGGCAAATAGGGACATAATTAGAGCAACAGTCTCCTGAAATAATTACAGAAGCTGAATATGAAAATCTGTTCCTCTAAGAATGATCATTTCACATAATAACCTAGGATTGTGGTATGCCATACATGAGAAATCAAGAGGAAATGCTGAACCAATAGATGTTGACATTATAAAGGCTTCCCAATAATGGCAGATGTACTAATTTTCTCTTAGCTATTTTATGACTAAGCATCACACATCCTATGAGTGATAGTATCAAAGAGCCATAAAAATGACAGCATAATGTATGATTGTGCTAAAAAAGACAAGGAGATAGATGCATAAGGGAGAGAAAAGAACACAAGATGGGAAGGAATTCTTCTTATGCTCTATGATAAAGGACCTTTTAAACTGTATTTAGGCCACTGTACTCAGTATTGCACTCAGTATTATAAAAGTGATTATAATGGCCTCATTTATATAGCACCTTTCTTCTAGATGGATTATCATTTGTATAATCACCAAAGCGGGGCTAGGAGCATTACAGAACAAATCACTAGAAGAGATTACACTCACTTTATTCATGATGCTTGTTATTGTGGTGATGAAGGCCCTACTATAAGTACACAAATTGAAAGACATAGTCAGAGTAACAAACAACAAAGAGAATCAGGACAGAAAGGACAAAGGTTGCAGCAATCATTTGGACCCCAAAGCTCGTACTCAATGAGGTTATGTGTAGATTGTAGGCTTCTTTTGGAAGAAGCTTTTCCAGAAAAGATCATCTGAAAAAAACTTCTTCCAAAAGAGTGTCCACACTGCTAAAGCTCATTGAAAAAGTGACTTGCTTTTTCAAAAGAGAGCGTCAACACTGAATAGACACTATCTCGCATTTAAACTGTGATTACTATGGATGGAGTGGCCACCAGGACACCTGTGCTTTTTCCTCTTTCCTCTTCTTTTGAAAGAACTCCCTCTTCCCTGTCCACACACGCCTTTTTCAGAAAGAGCTCTTTCAGAAAAAGGCTTCTTCCTCATAGAAAGAGGTTTACCAGTGTCGGGAAAACCCCTCTGTTCTTTTGTGTTTTTAAGAACATGATTGCAGTATGGATATTAGTGAAGTTTTTTCGGGAAAACAGCCATTTTTCCAAAAAATCCTCTGTAGTGTAGACATCTCTTTACCTTCCACTGAGTCTCTTTAAAGGGCCATATACTTCAATATGCATGAGTATCTTTCCATTGACTTCAATAGTTGTTGAGCAGGTTGTGTAGGCAGCAAAACTCTCAGGCCTTACATGTAGAAGGGAAAACTTACAACAATTTGGGACAGCAAGTAAAAAAGATTATCTCCAACAGTAGTTCTCAGGAAGTTTGCAGAGTTAAATATTTCAAGGGCCTGTCCTATTTATAATTGCCCTTAACATATTTGAAGACTGCCATAAAGAAACTGAAAAAGCAAATGGATTGTTAAAAATATGTCCTTAAAAGTTTTATTTGTCTCTGATTTTTGGTTGGCCAAGGCACTCACTGATTGCCTGGTGAGATCTTCCCGGCATTAAATAATACAGCAAATAGCAGTGATTGCAAAGCCCAGAGTTTGCTCCCTCCCTGTACAGTAGGTAGTGAGTGATATTTACTTCATCTATCATTTAGCAGTTGCTTTGGAATCTTAGCGGGGTAGCCATGTTAGACTGGAACTTTAAAAACAACGAGCAATCCAATGGCACCTCGGAGACTAACCAAAATATATAGAATCATGAGATTTGTGGGCAAAACCCACTTCATCAGATGAATTGGAGTACAGTGACTCTCCAAAGTCTTCTAAGTTCTAGAGAATTAAAGAAGAAAGACACCTATGATGTCATCTTTTTATGACTTCTGTAGTAATTGGTGAGACCTAATGAGCTCTGGGTTGCCATCTTCAGGGAATGGAAATTCCTTACCCTGAATGGACAGCAATGTCACTTGTTTTAAGTTAATGAAGTAGAACAAAAGAATCTTTGTATGTGAACAGCACAGAGACATGGATCGAGTATTAATTACTGTCACTTCCATGTGCTAAAGTAACTTAGGGCAGTGGAAAAAGCAATGACATCCGACTCAACAAGCTACTACCAACAAACACTTGTAAATCATGTGTTCAGACTTTTTTTTAAAGAGACGTAAGGGGAAATGGAGCTCCACAAGTTAAAACATAGAGCCTGTGGGTCTGACTGCTCACAGCATTAGCCCAATCCTATGCTAATATAAATCCACCAATTGAGCTTCTCTGAAGTAATGTAGAGGTGAACCAGGCCCTGAGTTCATTTTCCAGCTCACAGACTAATATCAAGTAATGGCGTTTAGATTCATCAATGGCAAACATCACTTGAAACAGAACTACCGGGGAGAAAGTTGTCCAAAGTCCCTTATACAGGAATCTCTCACTCATAGAATTCTATAGTGATAGAAATGTTGCCGTGTTAGTCTGGTGTAGCTGAAACAAAATACAGGACTATGATAGTCTTTAAAGTACTACATAGTCCTGAATAGAATTCTGTATGATCTTTTAGTTTGTCCATAAAAGTGAGTTAGTGAGGTACTATACAATGTCTGGTGCTGCTTTGTCCAGTGCTTCCACCAAGACATCTTTTCCGCAACGACTTTCGTTCACTGCCAGTAGATGACACAATCACTCCTATCACTGGAGAACTCTGCATCTGACATGGGATGCAAGTCTCCCATCGCCATGATTGAATTACAAGGAGTGCTATGGCTTGTCTACACTACAGAGAAGTTTGAAGCTGCTGCAGTCCATCTTCTGGGGTTTGAATTAGTGGCTCTAGTGAAGAAACACTCATCTGAACTGAGAGGCCACCAATATTGTTGGTGCCAATAGTCCTGCTCCTCACAAGGAGCAAAGGAAGTTGATAGGAGTGTGTGCTCCCATCAACCTTCTCCTGTGTGAATGGCGCCAAAACACAATTTAAGATACTTCGACTCCAGCTACATAATTAACATAGTTGGAGTTGTCTCTTAAGTCAACTTTCTCCGTTAGTCTGGTCTACACTAATGGATTTATTAGGGCATGGATAAATTGATTCTCATGGATAAAACCCAGATGAATTGGAGTGGAGTTTACTGAAGCATGGAAATATATCGAAGGATAAGAAAGACACATGGCCAAATGACATGTAAAAATAAAGAAACTGTAGTAGACCATGCTACTTCTCTTGCTTGTCTGATGCTATTCTAAATTATCCACAGGTTTTTGTACTGGAGGTTACAGCATCTGATCTTGGCTTGGAAGGGAAAGTATTAAGCTCATTTGGATGAAGCTCTGAGATCATTGTGGAGAAAGGTAATGTAATACAATTCATGGAAGAGGGCTTTGGGCAATCAGTTCCCTTCTTCACCTACCAACCACAGACAAACAACTCTGTCTAGTTAATACTGACAACACACCACTAGTACTTCCTCACTAGTTATGGTTATCTGTACTGCGGCTGTTCAGTGGCTGTCAGTCTGTTAAATATTAATTATTTATATGTATCATGGTAGCACCTAAAATCCTACAGTGAAATCAGCCACCCCCTTCCCATTCTGCTAAAAATTGTATGTACACATAATAAAAGATATTGCTTGGCCTCAAGGGTTTGCTGTCTAAACAGACCAGCTGGACACAGGTTGGAAGGGAACACGGTGTCACAGAGCAATGAAATGACTTCCATAAGCTCACTCCAAAGTTCAGCAGTATGGTCAAGGACAGAATGCAGGCCAAGCTGAAGGCCAATGCCCTATCCCACAAACCTTAATGGCTTTCCAGAATATATTACATGGCAGTTGCTTGACTTAAAAGATCCATATTGGTTGAAAAGCAGTTCAGTTTTTCTCTCTCTACTTCTCCCCTTTGTACTAGATAACGTGTAGAGGAGCACTGCAATAGCATGGCCTCAATGAATCCCAGCTATCCATATGGCTTTCCAACATTTGGTATGATCACTCTGTTTATCAACATAGAATCATAGAATACTAGGACTGGAAGGGACCTCGAGAGGTCATCGAGTCCAGTCCCCTGCCCTCATGGCAGGACCAAATACTGTCTAGACCATCCCTGATAGACATTTATCTAACCTACTCTTAAATATCTCCACAGATGGAGATTCCACAACCTCCCTGGGCAATTTATTCCAGTGTTTGACTACCCTGACAGTTAGGAACATACCTGATGTGCAGATTCAAATAGACATTGGAGTGTGAATTATTCAGAGCTTGGTACCTAATGAATCATTGACTTTTGCTATATAAATGCCATATGAGATACAACTATAGAACAAATGCCTGGTTCATAAATACACCTTTATGATCACTGCACAAAACTTCACAGTCTTATAAAACTTTGCATTCTAAAACGTGGGCATCTTTCCTGTAGAAACTATACTAAATGAATATTTCAAAAGGAAGCGAACATTCGTGGGCATCTTTCCTGTAGAAACTATATTAACTGAATATTTCAAAAGGAAGTGAACATCGATAAGGTGTGTTGTTTGTGTGCTGTTGTGTGTAGTAGGGTCCTCTCACCTCATGAGCAAGTCTGAGCACTATATTCCATTATCTTTGATTTGGAGTTGCTTTGTTCTCCTGGCAACCTCCTTCCAGTTCATTGTGTCTGTAGTTTCTGTGCTTTTCCATCCAGTCAAAAGAATGAGAGTCGCATCTTTTTGGAAACTGGCTTGTATCCATTCCATGCAGTGGCTGGCAAGAGGAATAATGCTGTTTGCACTCCCGCTGGGCAAGTGCATGATTGGTGTGATGTATCCCATTTACCCGAGCCAAGTGTGCCTATTACTTTCAGTAATGAAGGGAAATGAAAAGAAAATTAAGTGAATTCTGCTTCAGAAGATAACCTTATTGAACCAGCAGGCTGAAAATCTATCTACGTGCCTCCACATCTCCACTGAGGTAATCCTGGATAAGACGTTGGCATGTGAATGGCAAGGCAGTGATATAGCCAAATGAGTCGCTTCTTACAATTAATGTCCTTTCTCCTGCTCTCAGTAGAGAGCTTGTAGCATCTCATATGACTAAGCAGGATGTTTCATCAGTTAACGGAGCAGTGCACAAATCTGAAAAGTGGAGCTTGTCAGAAACATTCCAAATGACCTTTTTTCCCTTTGGAAAAAGCCAATTTGTCGAAATTGAACTATTTTCCAGGGGCCAGTGCTTCTTTCGATGAAATTGTAAGAGAAACCACACAGGAGTCCAATCCCTGCCTGGTTTATTGCTTGCTCGCATGCTGGGGGCGGAGGGAAGGCTGCTGGAGAGTGCTGGCTGCCAGTTACCCAGGCTCTCAGATGTTTGGCAGCCCATATTCCTTGGCTTCCAGAATCTACTGATTCCCATCAGCTCACCAGGTGGACTTTACCGGGGTAGGCAAGATATGGTCTGTGGGCTAGATAAGGCCTGCCAAGTCTTTGGATCCAGCACATGGTCTGCCCTACCAGCCCCCTGAGGCAGGCTACCTGCCTACTGCAGCCCCAGGCCACTCAAAGCTGGCTGGCTGCTCTGTATGTCTCTCTCCTCCACATGCTGTGAGGGCAGGGGACTCCTGCTGTGAGGGCAGAGGACAGGACTCGATGACCTCTCAAGGTCCCTTCCAGTTCTAATGGTCTATGGTTCTATGCCGGGAGGGGAAGGGGAGAACAGTGTGTTCCAGCCAGTGAGGGCTGTAGTGATTGTGCTGAGGGTGGAAGTAACGAGCAAAGTCTTTCCCTCTCCTCTCCTCTCAGTGTCTGGCACAGAGAGGTACATGGAGCAGCCCCGCTTTGAGTGGCGTGAGGCTGCAGCAGATATGGATCTTGCCTGAGGCTGCTGGCCAGAAGCTGCCTAGGTAAGTGCCTCTTATCCAGAGCCTACATTTGGCACCCTACAATATCCTGCCCCACAATTCCCTGTCTCAGGTCACCATTCCTACCTGCCGAAGGTCACCACCCAAGCCCTCTGCGCCCCACACCCACAAGTCACAACTCCCACCCAGACACTGTACCCTCTCCTACACCTCTTCCCCAGGCCAGAATCCTCTCCTGCACCCATACCCACTCCCAGATCTCAACCCCCTCCTTGACACCAGCACCTTCTCAAATGCCGCACCTTCTCCTGCACCCCAGTCCTCTACCCCGAGCTCCCTTCTGCACCTAAGCTCCATCCCAGATCCTGCATCCACTCCATAGAAAAAACTTGGAGTGGCGCCCCCATCAAAATTGCTGCCTACCCCTGGATTATACTGAAGCTAGGACTCCAGTATTCCCTAACCCCTGACTTCTCAATAAACAAGATCCCTGGCTCCCAAGCTCCCCAAATGCTTATGTCCCTGCCTGGATGGATTCCAGGGTTCCAGACAGCTCAGGGAACATCCAAAAATGTTTCCAAAAGTCAAAAGAAAATATCATGTCTTCTAAACAAAATTTGGATTTTTTTTTGGTTCTGTTTCAAAAGGTTAAGAGCCAGATATTCATTTGGTATCAGTGGGTGTTGCTGAGGGTATAACCCAAGGGAGTTTGGCTAGGATTGGTGAGAGCCTATATAAGAGACGTGAGATCTAATCGATGTACATAATTTGCAAAGCTTTCTTTGGAATTCGGATCCCAGAACAGTGTTTCCAAGTGCCCTTTGCTTTGTGGGAGCTCTCCTATTTTATCCTAGGTAAATCTAAAAGCATATGGACTGTCTACTTCTCATTGGACACACATCCCTGCAAGCTGTTCACTCGGAATTAGTGCAGCCACATATTGGATGGTGCTCCCACTAAGGCAAAATAGAACAGACCTATTCAAGCATTTTAGCCTCTATATGGTCCCGATCCAAGTCCCACTGATGTGAATGGAAAAATGCCAGTTGACTTGAGTAGGAACTGAATTAGGCTAGATTCAGGTTTGGTTTAGCCATCCAAAAGTTCAGAGAGTTCCCCAAACAATTCAGATCTCCCGAGTCTGCCAAAATGGCCTGGGTATTATATTTTGCAAGATCAAGGTTTTAAGTTTTCTGTCACTATTATTTCCGATCAAAACTCTGAATACTGCAAGCATAGCCTTTCTCAGGGTACTCCACTGCCAGCCCCAGATGGTAACTGGAAATAGGAAAAAAACTTTTAAAAAGGTTTGAGTGTAGAAGTGGATAAATCTTAAAAAGGTTTGAGTGTAGAAGTGGATAAATCTTGAAAGGAGAGGGTATTCTTCTTTTTTTTCTTATTTTCCACATTAATCTCTGTCTTTTTTAGAGTAATAATCAGGCATTTTACCTGCTAGCAAAATCATTGCTTTGTATTTATCATCTGGAACAAGGGCTTATAGATATTTCTCACTCAACTGAAACTACGCTCCATCATAACCATATTCAGTAATAGTTATGTGTCTATTGCAATCAACTCCTCTTCACTGCAGTGCCGCTGCTCTGTTATATTTCAGTGTCATCCATATCTATGTGCAGAATATGCAGTTGCAAAGGGCACCTGAAAAACCGGGGCATCGCTGGCTCTTAATGTCTACCCAGTGCCTCTTTTTATCCCTTTTCTGTGGCTTGGCTTCCTCCTGAGAGGCTCTAGTTAACTTAAAAGCAATAAAGTCTGCCAGATCTATTAGCAGAGCACTGAACCTGTGAAAGAGCCAATCAAGTGGTAATGAAGCCATTTAACAGGCATTTGCCAACCCCAGGTAAATACTGTCAGTTTCTGAATTTACTGTGTTAGTCTGGAGGACCTTGGTTTAAAATTTGCTTTAGGACTATTTCATTAGTGTCTTCCTGAAGATTATAAAATCACATCTCTAAAAAACTGGGCCCCCTCAGCTGCCTTCAGGCATAGGGGACCCAGTGTAAGAGTACTGCGCAGGATCCTATAAATCCTAAGGACTGCCCTACACAGGGGTATGACAAAGATGTATAAAATAATGACCTAGGCCAGGTGCATGTTCTTAAGTTTACCATAGAGCACAAGAACGAAGAGAAATATGATCACTATAAAAAGGCTGCAAAACTTATGTAGACTGAAGAAAGTATTTTATCTCGCTCACAAGTTTCTAATCCGCTTGTAGGGTTAATGGTTGCATAGCAGGGTGGTGGAAGAATGGGGTAACATTTTTTTCAGCGCTGGTGTTTCTACATAGGGGGTGTGATCCTCCTATCCTAAAAGCATGTTTAAAATAATATTACGTGGGAGTGTTTTGTTCAAAAGAAAAGTGGAAATGGGAGGTATAGTCCCAAATGAGGCCAGTGAAAGAGTTCTTCATGGTGGTTCCTAGCCTGGCAGGCCAGCAGTACTCCTCTGGGAAGAAGGATGAATAGGCTTTAGGATCCTAAAAAAGTGGAAGGTGCATGAAAGCCGAGCCAGGAAGGAGAAGAAGGAGTGAGGTGCAGGGCTGGAAAGATGTGAGGTGCCCATTGTACCTTTCAACATTCCTAGAGAGACTACGCCCCATTTCTTAGACTGTGGGACAGTCGGAGAAGTACAATCCAATGGGGACTGGGAGTAAATCAAGGCTGAGGAAAGCTATGTCTGGGGGAGTTAGTCAGCAAGAGAATTTATTATATCTGATTGTTCCCATCTTACTTCAATAACGTTCTGCTCAGCTTCTCAAGGGTATGTGTCCTTTGGCTACGTCTACACTGCAGCTCCAAGGAATGTGTCCGCTTTTCTGTGAATTTTTTTTGGAAAAGCGGACGCGTTCTTTCACCATCCCTGTAAACCTTGTTGTATGAGGAAGAAGAGAGGTGCTGAAAGAGGAGGTATTTCCGAAATCTGATGCTGTGTAGATGCGCCAAATTTCAGAAAGGCCTCTTTCAAAAGAGAAGCAGAAAAAGATACGCAAATTGCAGTACGCAAATTGTGAATCTTTTTCCGACTTTTCTTTGTAGCGTAGACACAGCCTATAGGTCCTGCTGTGGCAGCCCCATCATTCATAGGAGTAACTACTATGTGAGTCTAGTTCTGCTTTTGGGCAGACATACACTGATGTCCCATCATATTTGCAGAAGCTCCCTCTGTCCTTCCACCCCAACTCCTTTCTTCATCATCATCATCATCATCAACAACAACAACAACAACAACAACAGCAGCCATAGGCTTAATGCCCGTTAGTGTCCAATGCCTCCCTAACTGTTTCCTTCCATCTTTCCCTGTCCAGTGCGGAGTGGCTTAGTTTCTGTAGACTAGCTCCGCACCAATCTACTATATCATCTACCACTTTGCACTGCAGCAATATAACCCAAATGGTGTACGGATAGTAAGTTAAAGATTCAAAACTGGTACAGTGCAAGTAAGTCACTGCAGTTCTGCCAGCTATAGGAGGGGCCATAGGCATGACTGGGGGAGGAGCCACAGCCATGGGGAAGGGAAGGAATAGAGGCATGGCCTGAGGAGGGAGGAAAGGAATGGCAGGGTGGGCAGATGGGTGAGCCATGGGGATAGGAGGGTGTCAATATATAAAAGGGTGTCACAAGGAGGAAGGAGAAAATTTGTTCCTCTTGGTTTCTGAGGACAGGACAAGGAGTAATGGGCTTAAAGTGCAGCAGGGGAGGTTTAGATTGGACATTAGGAAAAAATTCCTAACTGTCAGGGTGGTCAAATATTGGAATAAATTGCCAAGGGAGGTGGTGGAATCTCCCTCTCTGGAGATATTTAAGAACAGGTTAGATAGACATCTGTCAGGGATGGTGTAAGTGGAGCTTGGTCCTGCCTTGAGGGCGGGGGGCTGGACTCGATGACCTCTCGAGGTCCCTTCCAGTCCTATTATTCTATGATAAGATTTCATGGGCAAAGACCCACTTTGTCAGATCATACATCTGATGAAGTGGGTCTTTGCCCACGTAAGCTTACGCTCCGATAATACATCGGTTAGTCTATACGGTGCTACAGGACTCCTTGTCGCTTTTGCAGATCCAGACTAACACGGTGACCCCTTGCAAGGCCATGTGTGGCTTGCACAGCATGCCCTGTGTCACGGGCCCCAAGGTGGCCAGAGGTGTGCTGCCCTCCACCCAGCCACCCTCTGCCCCCACGTGCACACACACACAACAGGGCCCAGC